CAGGCTGTCGTGAGTGTCGCAGTATCCCGGATCATACCTGATATCTAATGGGCCTACTCTCCCGTTTTCCCAGAGGTCATTCATGGCTGCAGGCTCTCTGACTCTTGGTGGTAACATGAGCCTGGCTGTTGGCCCTCTTGGCCGTAACGGGGAGGCCTCGACTGCTCTCAGCACAAGTGGCAAAGTTGCTGCGATGTTCGTACACGCTATTCTTCTTCATTATTAACTCTCTTTTTTGATACCCCTTCAGGTATAGCTACTCGAAAACGCGCGGCCTCTTTGGTGGTGTGTCGGTCGAGGGCTCCGTAATCGTTGAGCGGCAAGACGCGAACACGCAAGCATATCGCTCCAACGTGAGCGCAAAGCAAATTCTCAGTGGCACGGTCGTACCTCCGGACTGGGCACAGCCCCTTATCCGTACACTTGAGTCCTGTACCAGTCCACCAAGCGGACGTGCATGGGTTGCAGATAACCAAACCTCTGTTGGCTCGTCCTACGCATTTGGTGGAAGGGGAAGTGCCAGCACCGAAGTCCCGCCATCCTCGCGCAAGCCGCAACGTGGATCACATAACGCCTCCGCCTTCCCTCCCGATTCGTGGGGTTCACGTAAGAATTCGGGCAGTTACTTCGGACCTCCTGCGGAAGAGGCTGTCTCAGGTTCAGCGTGGGATTATGACCATGCTCCCCAAATCGACAATCCTCCTCCTTTTGAAACTCGCTTCGAAAGTGACTTTGTTCCCACTGCACGCTCGCGTGCCCGACACACCCCTGGTCAGTCACTCGACTCTTCCATGGGAACTAGTTCCGGAACTCGACTGCAATCCGCACACTCCCGATCATCAAGCAGCACAGCAAATCCATTTTATTCACAGGCAGAGCGTGAAAGCGATGGGTACGATATTACATCACCGTTCGGACCGACGCTTGAGGATGAAGATACCCCGTTTGGCCCGGATTCTCGGGCTGTGGATGCCGTGGCCGCACGGTACCGTGAGGCTGAGCGCGATCGTGTGCTCAGTAGACCACTTGCACAGGGGGAGGGCGTGGGTCGTGCAATTGCGCAGTACGATTATCGTGCCGTTGAACCGGGAGACCTGTCTTTCTCGAAAGGCCAGGTCATCACCATCACGGAGAAGAGTGACTCGACTGATACATGGTGAGTCCCTCATAATGCGCCTGATTCGTACGGTGACTGACTTGGGTCGGCTTAGGTGGAAGGGTAAGCTCGAAGGGCGTGAGGGTTCTTTTCCTGCAAACTTTGTAGAAGTTGTATAACAGTCGTCATTTATCCATGTTGCACCGCTGTACACACGAGATTACATAATCTGTATTGTCCCCTCTTCGCGTCGCCGCGCCGCGCCTGTGACCTACGCCGCCAACCCATTCCGTCGCAATGTCCTCCAAACGAAAATGGGACCAGGCCGCACCGGAAGAGTTAAGGGATGACCCCGAATCTCCCACAAAGGTCGCAAAAGTGGATGAAAGCAAGAGCGCCTCCACCGCTGCGGCCGCAGCAGCTGCCATTGCAGCCAAAATCGCTGCTCAGTACAGTGGCGCTGGAGCTGGCGGCGGGGGCGGATTGCTCGGACCCAAGGACATACACGATGGAGATTTCAACCAAGATATTGACATCAACGACGTGAGAAATCGGTACATGTTGACCAAGGGTTCCACGCAACAACAAGTGCGTCACTCCTTCCACCCTCCACGACGCATGTCTCACGAACACTCGTGTCTACTTTTTTTTCTTCTAGATACACGAAGAAACGGGTGCCTCCGTGAGCACAAAAGGCATATGGTACCCCGACCGCACGAAGGCCACGGAGAGGGACCCTCCGTTGTACCTCCACATATCCGCGAACTCCCAAGATATGCTACAGAATGCCATTGACAAAGTCAACGAACTCATCGCGGTCGACATGGGCTCCCTTGTGGAGGAAAAGGGAAAGCGCGAAAAAGTGCGTTTCTTCCTGCGCGATCCGGGGCGTGCGTGCTCACGCCATCCTAGCGTAAATGGCCGGAGGAGAAAATCTTCATCGGGTTGGAGTCAATCCGTAATTTTAACGTACGCGCTAAGGTTGTCGGCCCTACTGTAAGTTCCCGTCTCATTCGACTTGGAGTCGTTTCTCATGAGCCGTTCGCAGGGCATGTTCGTCAAGTATATTCAGCAGGAAACGGGAACTCGCGTGCAGATCAAGGGCCAAGGATCAGGGTTTGTGGATCAGGAAACGGGAAAGGAGTCAGAAGAACCCATGCACATTCACATAACGTCTGTCTTTAGTCGCGGCGTCTTTCATGACTGTTCTGACGGCTTCCCTAGCGGACCCGAAGAAGGTCAAGTCGCACGCGCAAAGGCGTTGACTGATGACCTACTTGAGGTAGTCCGGGGAGAATACGCGAAGGTCAAAGCGATGATGCATCAACAACAGATGGAGCTACACCAAGCTCAAATGCAGTATGCCTCTTATGGTATGATGGGTGTAGGTGCCTTCACTCTATGCCGAAGATGATTCCTTCACCGTTTCATATTTACATTTTCTGACATACTGCGCCCATAGGGTTATGCGCCCCCTCCTCCATCAGCAGCGCCTCCACCGCCACCGCCCGGTGAACAACCACCACCACCCCCTTCCGATGGAACTGCAGCCGGTGCAGGCACAGCTCCAGCTGCACCGGCTCCAACAGACCTGGATGCCTACACGGCATATTGGTACGTGTCGTTCCTTGCAGGACCCGAGTCACCCCTACAAAGATATGTCATAGGGCTGCTTATGGCTACGACGTAAATTCGCCCGAGTTCAAGGAGTGGCAGGCAGGCCAGATGGCGCAATACAACCAGTATTATGCATCTCAGGGATACACAGCTCCCGGTTCTGACGCCACTGTTGCGAGTGCTGGCGGGGCGGCGCCTCCTGCCCCTCCCAATGAACCAGCACCACCCCCTCCACCCCCTGCCTAAGCACTGCCGTCGTTTACATGCTCAATCTGTAGATCCAATCTGTACATGTGCTTTGCGGTCGTCAGGCGTAACAAATATATGTGGATTTGGTTGCTGATAAGCACGAGCGCTACGTTGGGACGACCCCATTGCGGCAAAAATCAATTGCCAGGTCATGGTTGCCATATTTGATGTCGGCGTCAGTGACCAGGTGTCATCTACTGCCGAACTACGTACGAATGAGCTACACGGTTGCTCTCCTCTGTCTTTTCTTGGTGGCCGTCTTGTACCTATACATTTGTTTGAACGATGCCAAGCTCATGCACTGCCCCACGAGGTAGCTTCGGCTTTCTCCCCCAAAAGAGTCAGCGCCAGAGACGCTTTAGAAGCAGCAGCAGCTTGGGAGAAAACGGCGACAGTAGACCCAAAAATGTTCCTCCCACCGAAGACGGGAAGAAGGTATATCGTGGTCGGTGGGGTAAGTAAATGCCGCCATGGCTCCAGTGACGTAGCTGACTCCTTTGCGCCTTCTCCGTTCCCCATTCAGGCTGGCTTTCTCGGCGGCTGGATCGTCCGCCATCTGCTCGAGCGCGGCGAGCACCCGAAGCAGATCAGAGTTCTGGACGTGCGCGCCCCTACGCGTCCCGATCTAATAACGGGCCTCGCCAAGCACGTCGATTTCCATCTCGGCGACATCTCCGATCGGGCGCAGGTCCAGGCAGCCTTCAGCGCACCCTGGCCGTCGCCGCCGGCGGATACCAGCCGCGAGGGCTCGTCCCCGGCATCCGCGCAAGAGATCACGGTCTTCCACACCGCAGCAAATATCCGCTTCTACGAGCGCGACCCGAGGCTGCTGCACCTCTCCGACAAGGTGAACGTCGAAGGGACGCGGAACGTGCTCGACGCCGCGCGCGCGGCCGGCGTGAGCTCCTCATCTACACCTCGAGCGGCTCCGTGTCCATCCGGCGCACGCGGCTGTGGCTCTGGCCGTGGGAGCGGCGCCCGCGGTTGTCGGTGCAGACGTTCGACGACGACGCGCACCTCCCGCGGCGGCACGAAGAGATGTTCTCAAATTACGCCGCGTCCAAACTCAAGGCCGAGAGGCTGGTCTGTGCGGCCGACCGGACGAAGCTGACCCCCGGGAGGGGCCAGCTCCGTACGGGGTGTCTGCGCCCGGGAAACGGCATCTACGGACTGGGGGCGACATCCTGTGCGGCGCATATCTCGCGCGGCAGGTCAATCCTTCATGGATCCACGACATCCTTCAGAATTTCATTTACGTGGAGAACGCCTCGCTCGCCCACTTCTGCTACGAACAACGCCTGATCGAGAAGGCGCAAGGCTCCCGCAATCCTGACGTTGGTGGGAGGGCTTTCAGTATCGTTGACGCTGGTCCGCCAGTCACGTACGGAGACGTCTACACCGTGCTCACCACTCTCACCGATGGGCGGACCGTGTTCCCTCGGCTGTCTGCCACGGCCATGCTCATGCTCTCCCACATACTCGAGGGATTACACCTCATATCGTCTTTCGCGACACTGTCGTCGAATCCATTCCTTCGTCGTCTCGGACAGTTGGTACCAGCCCCCACTGGCGATCTCATTAATCTCCAACCATCGTTATTCTCTCTTACCATGGTACACCTTATTTGGGATGATTCGCATGCTCGGTCGGGCCCAGAGATCGGCGGTCTAGGTTACAAACCCCGATGGACGACACTCAGCGCACTATGCAAGCTAGTGGAGGAGCACAAGAAAGCGGATGGTCAGTTTGAAGCTAGGTCGATGGGGGGTGGTGTTAGCTTTGGATTTTGGATGGATCCAACACCTCGAGGAGGAATGAGAAAGGTGATCAAGGATCTCGCCACCGATGCTACTTTGGGCGATGAATGATGCGCCAGGCAAAATTAGCTTTTTCTCCGCAATTCAGCCTCAAGGGTGTCCATGCTAAGAAATACCAGAGAGTATCAATATTAGTCAATCTTTAGATAGCTCGCTACTTGCCAAACAGACTCAGGATATGAGACATTTGTTTTGGAAGGAAGCGAAAAAAGACAGTTAGTAGCCCACCGCGAGGGTCGAACTCGCAGCCTTCAGATCACCGCCTTAAGAGTCTGACGCTCTATCCGATTGAGCTAGGCGGGCGATGGTAAACTGATCCCAAAGAAAGATACTAGTCCCGGCAGACTCCTTGCACGAACGCACGCAATTCCAATCACTTTGGTTTTATGCTCGTTCCAGCCATTATGAGCTGAACCATGTTCGCTGTCGTAATAGATGAAAGCAGTGTACAAGATGTGTGGTGATAAGCCGCCGCCTCGAAAACGAATTAGGCGCACGGGGACTAGGTATGGAGGGAATAATGTAGAGCAATGATGTGATATAACAATCGATGGAGGTAATGATGAGCGCTCCTATACCTCAGGGTTTGGGATCTATACTATAACCAGCCAGTGACACTGTAGAAGGGGACGCCGTCAACGGCCCTACTGTTACTTTGGTTACAGACTTCGGGTCGGGAGTTCCTGGCACCCAGAGAACATTCGGCGGCGTTTCGGGCCCTGGTGTAATCGGTCGTGACGAGGCTGGCGTAGGAACTTGCGAGCGGTTGTGTACGAGATGTGCACGAACGAGATGGCCAGCGGCGAGGGCGCTGAGGAGGGAGAGCTCGCCCGCCATGACGGCAGCGGCTATGATGCGAGCAAGTTGTTGTGCGTTCTGACCTGGCTCTGTCGGATGAGCGCCTTTGATACCCAGCATCTCCAACACGGATTGCTGAGGCGCAAGGACGGTCCCACCACCAACGGTGCCAACTTCTATGCAAGGCATCGTGATGGTGACAAGAACATCCTTACCCTCGTTTGTTCTTGCGCTCCTGTCAGCGAACAACCCTCGGCAGGTGTGGCAGAAAGACACTCACAACTCCATCAGGGTCATACAGTTAGATGATTCCACATTCTGTGCCGGGTCTTGTCCCGTGGCAAGGAATACCGCAGTCAAGATGTTCGCGGCGTGAGCATTGAAGCCACCAACGGAGCCTGCCATCGCACTGCCAACAAGGTTTTTCTTCGTGTTGAGATTGCACAGAGCTTCTGGCGTAGTCTTCAGCACTGACTTGACGACAGGACCAGGAATGACCGCCTCAGCAACTACGCTCTTGCCACGTCCCTCGATCCAGTTTATGGCGGCAGGTTTCTTATCGGTACAATAATTACCAGAGAGTGCCAGGACGACCATCTCTGGAAAGTACTTGCTCATCGTATCCAGCGCTTTTTCAGTACCTTTCGAAATCATATTCATGCCCATTGCATCACCAGTGGTCGTTGCGAATCGCACAAACAATGTCCGACCGGCCATGGCAGCCTTCAACTTCTGCAACTTTGCAAAGCGGGACGTGCTCTCGAACGCCTCCTTCAGTATTGCACTGCCTTCTGCCGAGTCAATCCACGCTTTGGCAGCAGCCGCAAGGACAACAGATGGGAAGTCAATAGCAGGTCCGCGAGTCATGCCATCGTAGGTGACAACAGTTGAGACCCCTCCTCCAGCATTGAGGGCCTTGCAGCCACGGGATGTTGAAGCCACGAGTGTGCCTTCTGCTGTTGCCATGGGGATCGGGAACAGCCGACCATCGACGCTGAGAGGACCCGCGATGCCTAGAGGAAGAGGAATGTAGCCGACAACGTTCTCGCAGCAGGCTCCCATGACACGGGAATAATCGTAGTTTGACATGGGTACGTCGGAATGCTCGAGCGTCTTGGTTCTCGATGCCCGTGCTGTAAGCCTTCGTCAGTTACAGTGTGGCTAACAGAGGATAACTGCACATACAGATTAACGCCCTTCGAATGAAAACTGCGCGTTCTAAATCGCCTAGAACTTTTTCCAGGGCATACGCCTGAATTTGACCGCTCTGGGCCAACAGAATAACCTCCTCGTCGTTGAGTAACGAGAGTGACACAGATACTGGGCGAGGGCCATTCTCGAAGATGTCGATACATTCTTCCAGCGAACGTGTAGGAGTTGAGGTCTCTTTCGTACTCGGCTCGTCATCTTGTGAATCTGACTCATCACCTGTCGTGAATGTAGGTTGTTGTGCTTTAAGTTTCTCATCAACTGAATCCAAGAGTGACGAGATTCCATTCACGGAAGGCGCTCTTGGGACAGCTGGCACAGGAACAGGTCTCACGATTGCGGGCGCAGCGGAATAAACAGCAACACCCTCCGTGCGAGACTTCGGGAGGGATGGTATAGGTGCAGGAAGAGAGGAGGGGGGCATTGGCTGCTTCTCTTGAACTTGGTCAACAGCATTGAACCGGACGCCTTGAGCCTGTTGGACGATACGAGTAGAACCAGTCCCAGTGGAGATGCCCTTGAGAAGGTAGCCATTAAGTGCGACGCTGACGCCGAGCAGTAGCACGATCCATTTAGATAAGATCGGATCGCCAACTAGCCGAGTCCACGAAGACATGAAACTTTCGATCATATCATCCGCATCGCGTCCTTTGGTCTTGGGCTCCTTATGAAGGTATGGCGATATGATGGGTGACATGCGCACGTGAACCGGTGCTGATATGCGCACTATCAACTCGGATCCGTTGTGAATGGCTGCGAGATTAGAGAGAGACTGTTCGACAGGGGGACTGGTGATGTCGACGGTGCGGAAGCCAGGTAAGGTATCCCTAGCATAAATTGGATTTTGTACCTGCTGAAGGCGAGGCACAGCCGCACCAGGGGTAAATGTGGCGCAAAGGTTCAGCAAGTGGAGAGAAAGGAACGAGACGATCTACATGAACAAGTCAAATCGACGCCCTGATGACGGGGTAGGGCACCCTTACCAGCAATAACTTCAAGCGAGCGACAGGATTCTCCTCCTTTCTGGCTTTCTCCTTGGATTGAGATTTGAGCAAGGAGCCCTTTACGCCCAACAAAGCAGCAGAGGTTCGCTGACGAAAGCTGAGTTTGGGCATCTGGAGCTGGCCGTTCACAATCACGGGGGGCTTGAGATCCGACATAGAAGACCTTCGCGATGACAGGGCACGGAACATCTTGATGCGGCGCACCTATAACAATAGCACGTAGAGTAAGTGACAATCAGAAAACAAGAGAACAGTTGATTCCCCGAAAACCCCGCTATACGCGATGTCAGAGGACCTGAAACGTACCTCGATCATAACACTAAGAACAGCGACATAGAATGTCGCTGTTGCAGCACAATCAACCGTTAGGAGTAGGGCTGCGAGAGCACAGAACTCCTTAAGCCCGCCGACCTTGCTATACGCGCCAATAAGGAGTACAGCAACCTCAAGAGCATAGTCCCGAATAATAATATTGCCGACTTTATTAAGTGCCTCCACAATAAGGTCTGGAGCTGGTTTCATCTGACCGCGCAAACGACCTTCCTGAACGGCGGGCTGTACGAGATGTGGATGGCCAAATACCGCACGGGCAAGGCGAAGGGGCTTCTCGAAGCCAACTGTGCAGACCAGGAATGGAAGTGCTTCAATTAGGCTCACAGGATCAAGGGGAATGCGAAGGTAACCGGCAATGGGCAGTGCAACCATGAAAGAAAGAGTTGACGACGAGAGGATTGCAGTGGTCAACCAGAAGTTGGAGCCAAGACTGCGAGATGCCAAGAAAAGGCGGATGAATGTTGTATGCATCAGCACATACCCAGCAAGGACGAGAAGGATGTCCAGATTGTCAGCCTTCTGGATAAAATGACGAGATGAGGTCTTTTCTACAAACTAGACTGAGCCATACGGACCTTAGCAAGGTCCCAGAAGCGAACAATCAGGGTGCGTGCCGCATACACAGCCCATTTGCCACTCTTCATCTCCGCAATTGATTCCTGCTCGGGGTTCTCAACGACATACTTGATGGGACCGAAATCGTCTGAAATGAAAGAGCCGTGCTTCGAAAGAGCACCGATGAAATCCTTGCGAGTCCCCGCAGCAAATGAGAGCATGAGTGTTTCAGATTTCGGGACGTCTGAATAGGTTGATGTGAAACAAGACTCTTCTCCATTTGGATCATTCCGGACTGGATAACAAATACTCGGAAAGAATTTGCCGGAGGACGTAGGGAAATCGTGTGTGAGGAAGTGTGTTACATTCTCCAAGGAGCTAACGACCTGCGAGGAGAGTATCGGACTCTCAGCAATCTGCAAGGACTGATGAGTACGTGCAAAATAAACAAGGAGATTCATGCGCGCCTTCTTCGCCGTCCTGGCATCAAAAGCCATAGCAACTTGCTGAAGATCGATAGCAGAAACGCGAGTGGACTGATGGGTAAGAGCGTCATACCACTCCGTCTCCGGAACGGTAACCCACTCATTGTGGCGCCAGAGTGCATGTGATGGACGCAAGGGTGGGAGGGTAGTCGGGGCGAAGAAAGAGGAATGCTTGATAGCGGAGAGGACGTGGAAGTACGCGAGCGTGGCGAGCACGAAAAAGAACACGATGGTTTCTATGGGTGAAGAGGCGGCATGGATTGAAACTGGGCGGATGAGAGCCCTCATTGCGGGAAAACGGTGTATGCACACGTCAAAGCCGGCTGTTGAGCGTGATTTAGGTGGTGAGCAACAGAGTTACGAGCACAGGTCGGTACGTGAGGAGAGTCAGAGGGGCACTGACCGTTGCTAAGAGATAATATTGTCTATGGATTAAAAAAATAAAAAAATAATGGCACGTCGTACGATTGAACGGACGAGCGTGGAGGGAGAACGGGAAAGAGAGAGATGAGAAAGCCGAGGGGAAAGGGAGTGGAACGACGAGCAGGGTACATATTTATTGTGAATTGAAGCGTTGACAAAGACCCCGGAGAGCAGTCTCGCCCGTGACCTGGTGAATATTGTGCCTGGCGCGCTCAGCCCAGCCCTCACAGCACAGCGTGGCCCGCCGGTGTCGCGGATTACGCCACATCCCTCCATCTCACTCAGTCACTTCCCTATCCTGATCCGTATACTTCGCTTCTCCTTCTGGTGACGTACGGATCTGCCACGGAATTCCACCTGCTTTTAGACCTTCCCCGGTTTGGTCTCCTCTACGTACATTCCCTCAATTATCGTTTACGGTTCCATGTCTGCCGCGGGTATCTAGTTAAATCGCCATTTAGCTCATCTCTCGAGAACTACTCGACTCGTGCTCGTG